GCTGGCTTGAACTTGTGATCCTCCTGCCTCAGCCTTCCGGAGTGCTGCAGTACAATACGTGCACCATCACGCCTGGATGCCCAAGTCATTTTTTAAAGCATGGAGACGTTAAAGAAACGGGGAACCTAAATGACTGAGAGGAGATGTGAATAAAGCTCCATATGATTTCCAGCATGACCTCAAACCACTGCCTTCACTGCCTGGTGCTTTTTGAAAATTGTCCAGCAGAGGCATCTTATTACAGACGAACCCCATCTTGTCACCAGCTCTGTTACTAGCAGCGAGGACGGAGGAAAGGACAGCGGAGCCTCTGTGCTTACTTTTTGGTAGAGGAGCCCCAACCATCGGCTCAATGGGTTTCTGGCTTCTCCACGAAGAAAGCACTTATGTAGTTAAACTTTAATGCGACCGATGCAAGAGTGCTTCTGCAGATGTCAAATGCCCCTGTCGTCACATTGAAGCAGGAAGGCAGGAAGGGCCAGCCGTAGGAAGGGGAATCCACCTCTTCACCCCTCATGACCTGCATCCCTGTTTTGGGCTCCGGGCAGGTGCCGTGTCTGGGGTCAGGGTTGCTCCACTCCTTGAGCACGGGTAAGTACTGAGTATTGCATAGGTAGCCAAGCCAGGAAGGGGCCTGCCAGGCAGAGGTGCAGGCAAGGCGAGGGCAGAAGCGAGGGGAGCAGAGGGCAAGCTCCAGCGCAGGCAGGCGCTGTGTCTGTGCTGGCTGGTGTGTGGGTAGGGGCGGGGGTTTGGGGAATGGTTGAAAGGGGCTGGCCAGCATTTTATTATTTAAATATGCTTTCTTCCGGTGTTTCCAAGGCTGGTCTTGAACTTGTGGATTTAAATGATCCTCCTGCCTTGGCCTTTCGAATAACTGGGCCTACACGCATTTGCCGCGGTGCCCATCTTTCCACTCAACACAGCTGAGCTAAGGGGAGAGGCACTGTCTTATGTTCCCTTCGTTCCTGTCATTCTGTCTGAGGCTTACAGTTCCTAACCCTCTATTCCTGGGCATTGCATGGAGCCTTCCTTCCTAATAAGTGCAGGCAGGATTAGGGCCCCCAAAGAGAAGGAGCTGGTAGCCAGCTCCCCAGCTTATTGTCGGATAGTTCCTTTCCAAAAGAAAGGTGCCCAGAAAAGCGTGGCTGGGGACATTCTGGGGATTAGGACTTGAGTGACAGCATCCGGGATGGAAGATCTCTTGATAGTGTTTATCACGTCTGAGTACAAAGAGCACAGGGCAAAGAAGAGGGAAGAAGCAGATGGGGATGTTCTGGCAAGATCCAAGGGAAAGCTAGCAGTTGGAGCGAAGAGTTTAAAGAGCCAGGGCTGGGGAGGATGAGGGAGGGAGAACACAGCCGAGGAGCCCAGGGTAGCCGCGGAGTCAGGTCCACCGCCCAAATGGTCCATGAGGGAGGGAAAGGCATCTCATCCCAGTGGATGGTGGGGCGGTCTCCACCTCAACTCTTCTATCACCTTCTCAGTAATTAACCAGCCTCTGTGTGCATGACGACAATAATTACAGGCAAAACAGCTCCTTTGATGTGAGAGTGTAGAATGTCTGCATGGAAAGAAGGGTAAATAAAAAAGACAACAATCTTGCTTTAATATATAAACAAGGCTGATGGAAAAATATTACCAAACAAGCAACTAAGCCAAACACAGAGAAAACAAGGCCCAGGAGCACGCACCTGAGATATTCTGGGCCAACTGGGGGGCACCAAACTGGTGCTCAGAGATGGACCCCCTTGGGCATTTTTGCTTTTCTTTCAAAGAGCTCACACACTTTTGTACCAAGAGGCTGCATTCTAGCCCTTACCTATTCTCTGCAGATATTCTCAGAAAGTTTCCAGAGAGGCCTGTTTACATCTGGAATCAAAGCCCCGGAGAAAGGGGGTGCTGTTACAAGGGGTTTGAATGGCTCCTCCTGGGAAGCAAAGCTAATCGGGAATGGAGCTGAGCTAGTAACCCAGCATCCTGGATGCCTGTCCTGTGATACAACCCTGAACACCATTCTTTCTGTTGGGACCAAACTTTATTAGAGAAACCTGTTAATTGGGGCCGGAGGAGAGGAGAAAGAGAGCAATGCGGTGCTAACATGATTTAACACTCAATGGGCTCTGCGCATAAATGAGGAAAGGGCTTCGGACGTTAGCGTGGCACATTCATCGTTTCACATACGTGATACCAAACTGAACACACGCAACTCAAGCATTTGCAAGGCTCTGGGGGACACAATAGCAAAGACTTTGTGAAACAAAAAGGCATTTCTCCTGCCTCCACTGTCTCTTGTGGTGCCATTGTCTGATGCTAAGAACTCACATAATAACAAAAAACAATGCCCCTACATTGGGGGAAAACTTGATTTGGCATAAGCAGTAGTGTTTTCCATGGGAATGATGGTGGGGGCTGTGGCTGACTGTGGGAATAGTGCAAATCAGCACTTTTTTGTAGCTTTTCTTCAAACCATTGTTTATTTTGGCTATGGTCAGATCCGTAGCCCAGCTTGAAGATTCCCACTCGGTTTTCTAAAGCTCACAGCCCTACAAGAGATGGAACAGAGAATAAATAAATAATCACCAAACCCCCTACCCCTGCCCTAGCACTCGTGTGGGGGGGTGGGCCTGTCTTGGTGGATGTGTACACACACACGTGTCTTGCAATAGTGCACACGTGATCCTTCCCAGCACTGAGGAGTTGAAGTGAAACCAAGGTTTCCTCTGGGCTAGCTGGCTTGTTGTCTTTCATTTGGGGAAATTAGAACTTCATCCAAGAACCAGGTTTCGCAAAATGATATTGGGCAAAGTGTGTTTGAAATTGTGCGTATATGAAGACTTCCTCAAACCCTTTGATGTTTGTGGGCCTTTAAACATGAAGAGCTGGGCTGGGGATTTAGCTCAGCGGCAAAAGCGCTTGCCTGGCAAGCGCAAAGTGGTGAGTTCGGTTCCTGGTACCGGAGAAAAACCAAAAAAAAAAAAAAAAAAAAAAAAAAAAAAAAAACTAAACATGAAGAGCTGAGGTTGAGGTTCTGCCACAAACAAAAAAGTCAGTCATGGTGCTGATAATGCAACACGAGCTTTTTCTCACAGCTCTTAGAAGTTTCTTTCTCCCTAGCCAATGGAGGCAGAGATCAGCCGTGCCAACTTTGCCACAGAATGAAAAGTGAGCAAGGAGCACATGTGGAATGATCTATATTATGCTCCAAAATGTGGACATATTTGCTTTAAAATGCCAGTTACTGATTGCTCCTGCTGTACCACCAGCAGATTATTGTATTTTTTTAAAAGTGCAAAAAACCTTCCTTGAAGGCCCTGTGTGAGGCTAAGTCTCATAGAGTATTTTACAAAGAAATGCACTTGCCTTTTGTCAAAAAGTTCCCATTTCCAGTAGGATTTTTTGTAACAAATGTGTATTAAGCTGTCTTTGAGCAGGGTGACAGCATGGCACACCTCCAGGGGGCAGCATTTCCTCTATGTAAGGAAAACTCCAGATGGCCTTGCAGGGTGGCAGTAGTTAGACGGGCTTGCTGGAAAGATGCTTTTCCAGTGAAATGCAGAAGACCCTGTTCACCATCCCCTTATTAGAGTCAAGTTACATTACAGCCAGCGACCCAGGTCCTGGCAGGAAAAGATCTTGCTATGGACCAGAGTGGGCTAAGTGCAGACGTGACTTAATGCACACAAACATCTTAGAAGTTTCAAGGACACAGAAACTTACAGCAACTGAGGTTAAGGGCTTTCTTTGCTCAGGCTCCCCCAGGCCCCACGCAGCAGGCCTGGGATTCAAGCTTTTCTCCATGGCCCTCCAGAGCACCCCTCAACTATTCCCGTTTCTGCCGCTGCACGCCTCCATCCAGAAGGATCCAGCTGCAGCAGTGAAACCACCAGGTCATCTGGGGCAGAATCCAAAAGGTGGAATTCACCTGGCAGGAGAGGAGGTGGTTCCCGGGCTGCCAGTTTTGCCTTTGTACCCTGTCAAAGAAAGGGAGCAGGTGTGGAAGCACCCTGCTGCGAGCTTTACACAGCTGGAAGAGGGCAGGGAAGGGGAGTGTGGACAGATGCTCACATCTCCACCCCCTTCCTGGAAAATAACTTTGCATTTGAAGGGTTGCGAAGACGCAGCAAGTAAATCTGAAATCCGGACCTGGGCAGCAAGGAGATTTTATTTGGCTGTGTGAAGGCACACGCAGGTGCTTGTCTTGTGTGTGTGTGTGTGTGTGTGTGTGTGTGTGTGTGTGTAGAGAGACAGAGAGAGACACAGAGACAGAGGGGGATTGAGTTGGAGGAAGGTTCGAGTTAAGTGTGATGGTTCATTTCTCCCCATCTGAACTGGCTTTTTATTAAAAAAAAAAAAAAAAAATAGTTGTACCAGTCACCATTTATCCCAAACACACTATGTAACAGGCATTGTTTTAGTCGTTTTTCGAAGTATTATTTTTATGTAAAGAAAAAAAAAAACTGTTTTATGCAGGTGCACCCAAAGACGAGTGTTGTTT